TTGATTTTGAAGATTTAGCAGAAATAAAGAGATGGCATGGTGATGATTAGCATCGGGTTCTCAGTGTTTTGGATATGATTTAGGATTGCTTTGGGACTTATTTATTTTGATTGTGTAATTATTTTAAGTCTCATATATATACTTTGATAAATAGTTTATAAATTATTATATTTATTACATGTGAATGTAGGTTCAGTGCCCATATTTTGTAAATTTTTCAAATTTACTATCATCTTTAAATTTATAGTTTATTTAATTTAATCTCGTCATATATGTTGGCAAACTTTGTAATTAATTTTATACATGAAAGGATTTTAATGTACTCGTACTTTATATCGCTTGTCATGTACAAAAATTTACAATTTTATCCTGATTTTGTATAAATAAATTGTGCAATTTGAGACCAAAATTTTAGGATGTTACATTTCAAGGCCTACAATGTCATACAAAGGGCGAAAGTGAAAATGTAAAAGTTATTTTACCATTGATGAACGTTGTCTATTTTTGTTAGTATTTTTAATATTTTTTCTTGTATACTGTTATGTTATATTGTCTAAATATACTACTCTGCTTACCAGGCCAGTCCATGGGTGTACAAGAGATTTCATGATGACAAAAATCTTAAATTTACTAATATATCCTTTTAAACATGATACTTGTATCACTAATTACATTTTTTTTTTATTTTTTACTATTGGATTTTCATCGATTGTTGATAATATTTTAACGCTTTTCAAAAATACATATATTCTTTACTTATTAAAGAAGAAGGGAGGACATAAGAATTACCCTCGACCCTTCCCGAGTTACACCTATGCCCTCTTACTTACTAAAAATTTTGGTATGCAAGTTGTACTTTGATAGGACAAGTACTATAGACACTTGTCCTAAAATGCACTATTTCCACAAAGTTAAAATAAAACAAGGCCTGTGTAAATTAAAAAAAGGCAGGGCAATTATCCCTTTTTAATTCTCTCCATTGCACCACATACGCTTCCTTCTCTCCTGACTCTTTTTTTTCGCAACGCAATCTCAAATGTTGCCTTAATTCCTGTGACTCTTAATAATTTGGTTTTGGGCTTATTTTTTCATTTTTTTATGTGGATATTCATTCTTTTGTTTTAACTCATCCTTTTTGGGATTTTGAATTTTTTTTTAATTTATTTACTTTTTTCTTTCATATATAGCTTTGGGTGAATTTTTTTTCTTAAAATATATTCATAACTCAAATACATAAAAATGTTGGGTTTTGATAAGTTCTCATGTTTAAGAAATGTATATTTTAAGAATTTTGCGTATAAATTTAAATTTTTTTTTATATAATTCTTAATATATGTTAAATATTATTGGATTTAGTTTTTTTTTGTTATGTTTTGGACATTTTCTAGCTGTTAAGGAGTTAGACTTTTATTTTAAATATGTACTAAATGTTCTAGTTTTGATATTATAATATGGTGAAGTTTGATTGATTTTGATCAAGTTATAAATTAATTATAACATGTTATCATATCTTGGAATAATGAAAATATAAAGAAAATTATACCAAAATTTTGACAAATTTATCATATTATTGGATTGAAAATGTTTATTATCTAATGTATTAGTTTCTAAATAGGTTTATCATATTAAATGGCATTTTTAGATAACTTAGCTCATGGATTGATCACAAGCCTATTTTAAAGTCATAACATATCCTTACTTAAAAAATTATTGGTTGTAGTTTAAGAGCCAACTTTAGCCTAGGTGGATAATAGGAATGTCAATTTGGTGGAGGTTTAATTGTCGCTATCTTCTAGTCCATAATTGTTTTTCACTTCAGATCAATTTTTATGACTTCAAACTTGTTTTGTCATCTTAATTTAACAAAATTAATGCCTCAAGGCATTATGCCTTTTGATTAAATAATGTGTCAAAGATTGTAATTAGTTTTTCAGCTAGTATTTTGACTACACTGTTGATCTTATATTGCAAACATAAATATGAATTATAATAGTAATTATTAGATCATTGAATAAAATCTCAATAAATGATACATAGTGTCATGAATTTTTCAAATTATAAACATAAATATTAATATAAAAATAACATTGATCATTGAATAAAATCTCATTAAATTATACATAGTATCATGAATTTTTCAAATTACAAACATGAATATTAATATAAAAGTAATTATTGATCATTGAATAAAACCTCAATAAATTATACATAGTATCATGAATTTTTTCAAATTCAATATTTATAATATATTTTTATTTAATAAATAAATGTTTTTACATAATTAAATTATAATCAAAATATTTAAAAGTCCCTAATTGGTTAAATATATTTTTAATAATTGAATAAACACCCATTTACTCATAATAAAATAAAGTGAAACAAAAAAAAGAAAAGACACGTATTTAAAATTTAACAATAATATTACGTAATTTTATGTGATTTATCGTCTATAAAACTTAAATATAATTTTTCACTTCATATCTTAAAATATTAAATAAAATAATTTTTTTTTAAAGAAAATTACATTTCATTCTTTATTTTTTTAGTTTCTTAAAATTCGTCCTTTAACTAATTTTATTACATATTATAAAAAAATTTTGAATAAATATACACTTCGAAAACTAATATAATAACCATTGAGCATGTAAATTTATTAAAAGTTATAAAAGATATTTTACTGTATTAAATACTTAAATAAAAAAATTTATTGTTTAAAATAGTTTTATTTGACTCGAACGAAATTGATTACATTAAAAGACACACGTAGTTTAGAAAAAATAAATAAATTAAATAGCATTAATAAAAAAAAATTGTATAAAGTAAACAATATATATAAGGTAAATTATATTTTCTTTGAAGTGTAGAAATTATTGAAATAAATTTATATTAAATAAAAATGTTGAGAATAAAATATATGTATTCAATTAAATATTTTCATTAATACCACTAGTTTATAGTTCATTAATCAACAAGTACTTTCTCTCGCAAGATAGTCTTACAATCAATTTGATAATAATAGTATTAATTAACACGTTTTGAGTATATTTGTAAGAGAGATCTTGAGTGATAGAAGGACTAAAATCACTATAAAACCCTATGTTGATGGCTAAGATGAGATTTTGCTCAAATATAACTTTGATTATATTATTATACAATTAAAATATTTTTTTTCATATTTTTACGCGAAATGCTCTTACGTGTGCATATGTATATGCATACTTACTCCTACATGGTTTCACAATTCTTTGTTTATATTACTATGAAATGTCTGATAAATAACGTTTTTTTTAATCTATAATAACCAGATAAGTTGAAACGTTTATAGTCATCAGTTTCAAGAAATTTCAGAACATAAATTTTATTATCTTTAATTATTTAATTAAAATATTTATTATCTTTCAACACAACAACTCAATCTCTATTGAAAATTTCAAAATAAGCAAAACATCATCTCATTATATGTACCTTAAAATTAATTTTGAAAAAAAATTACGGATAAATTCATTTACTAAATGAAATTTGTACATTGCCACAAATTAAACGTCCTTTTGCCCGCAGAAGCAAAACAAACAGGAATTATTGGTTTTTAATTATTGGCAACGTGAGAGAGTATGAAAAGAATCCTTGACTTTTGAATCTTGGGGATATAGCATGATCATGGAGGTTGGCAACATTGAATTTTCACAAATCTGAAAAAGTTATATATACTACTTTCCTTATTATTTTTATGTAATAAAATAAGGAAAACTAATAACAACTTTTCTTTATTTTTTATTCTTGAAACAAATGACAACGTTAAAAAAGGGAGACACTATTGTTCAAAGGTACATGTTTAATCATTTAAATCTCTAAAATAAAATTTCTCTAGTTTATTATTAAAATAATCTATTAAATATTACTTTAATTTTTCATAAAAATTCATACAATATTATTTTAAATTTTTAAAGAATTAATTTGATGATAGATATTTTTTCCACAACTAACTTAGTGACATAATTTTAAAAATATCAAACGACAACAGGATTTTCTCCTAAAGATAATGTAACAGAAACCGTAAGCACAGTAATTTCTCAAAAAGACATGACAAGAAAATTGATAACCATGTAAATAGGTCACCGATAGAGTAGTTTACCAAGGTCATGAATGGGAGAGACAAACTCAAACTTGATGTGAAAGGTACGATATCGATTATTTTTATTTCAGCGGTTTTTAAATTAGGATACGTAATCGTAACTTACTAGAACTATTGTTATATAATAATGTATGATCTCAGGTTAAAATAATATTTACGTGTATTTGATTAATTTTAAACTTAAGCAAATAAAAATGGATTCTATTTTCAGTAAAATTAACAGAGATAGACAAAAATGTTTTAGCTTTTTTGTTCATAAGAATTAATTTTAAATATATAACTCAGAATAAATTTATAGCTAAAAAATAATTTATTCTATTATTTTAATAAAATTCATTCATTTATATTCACTTTTAAAATCATGTTGCAGAATCCATTTCACACAATACAAGACACGTATGGTATATAGCATGATAGCTACTAATTCTCCTGCTGTTATTGTTGCAGTTCCAGTCATGAAATAATGTGTCCGTTATTATTATTATTATTATTATTATACAATTCAATTGCTTTGTACAAGATTGTTATGTTTTGTCCAGAGGGTCTGAAAAAAAATATAAAAAATAGTATATTTTTATTAAAAAATAAAGAAAACTTAGTTTTTTAAAAATAAAATTTATCTCTGTTTCTGAATTTATTTATTTATTTCTTGATTTTCCTTTTTTTAGTCCAGATATAGGATAACATTTTCGTTAGCTAAGGAATTAACAATAAAAAATTTTGTCAAAAAATATATAAAATAAAAATTAAAAATTATAATAGAAAACATTAATAATATTTTCAACAATAATTTTATGATTTCATTTCCTTAATCAATACTCTTGAAACATTACTTAACACATCCCTTGCTTTATCAATGATTGCCATATTCTCACTCATTCTTCTCTTTGTCTTGCCTTCACAAAGCAAAAACCAAAGAAGATTAAGATTCATCCAGATCCTTTCTTTGATTCTTGTGCTATTCTCTTTCATTGAGTTAATGTTTTTGTCTTTCATCTCTCTCTTTTTTCTTTTTTTTTTCAATTGTGGGATTTTTAGCTCATTTCCTTTGTTCAGGCTCACAAATGCAAATGAATGGCTATCCATAATCACCAAGTCACAATCTTCCTTTGTGCTTGAAATTGTGGTCTGAGTGTTCCTTTCTCAACATGGCTACCACACTGTGTGTGTCCAAAAGTATGGGATACACCTTGTTCTTGAACTCCTCCTTCCTCGTTGTGATTTGTTCTTTCGTGATTATTCATTTCCACACACAAGAAGTTGTAGTTGTGAGCAAAACCAATGTCTCTGATGGCAGCACTGAAAAAGACTGCAATAACTTAAACAGCCATGGTGACTACAAAGCCAAGTGCTTGAAGCTGAAATTGAATGACCCTTGTGTCTCTCAGGGCTATATTTATTATCTCTACCTTTTCTATTGCAATTTTGGGAGATTCCCTTCATTGGGTTACACCCTTTTATTTCTTTGGCTCTTAGTTCTTTTTTATCTGTTGGCTAATACAACTTCTGAATACTTTTGTCCCTCCCTTGAGAACCTATCCAAATTACTGAGGTTGTCCCCTACCATTGCTGGAGTCACCCTTCTGTCTCTTGGTAATGGTGCTTGTGACGTTTTCTCAAGCCTTGTCTCTTTCCAGGGAAGTGGGACCCGCAGCATTGGCTTTAACACGGTTCTTGGGGGTGTTTCTTTTGTGTCTTGTGTTGTGGTGGGGACTGTAACCATTGCAATACGTCAAAGAGGGGTTCAAGTTATTAAGTCTGCGTTTGTGAGAGACGTTTGTTTTCTTCTTTTGGTTCTTCTGGCCTTGTTTGGTATTTTGATCAATGGTAAGATCAATGTTATTGGAGCTATTGGTTTTACTTTGTTGTATGTGGTGTATGTAATTATTGTTTATATCTCTTCTACACGGTGGAAGGAAGGTGGTGGTGGTGGTGGTGGTGATGATGCTGAAAGGGGTGGTATTGGTATTTCAAGTTATGGCAATGATTTGAGTGTGCCTCTTCTTAGTGGTGTGAGGAAAGGACCAATTGATTGTGTTGAAAATGGTGGTCCAGAATATGGCCTGAATATCAAGAAGCATTGTTGTTGTGTGAGATCTTCAATTTGTGGAATGTTACTTTATGTTCTGGAGATGCCCCTTTACTTGCCTAGGAGATTGACAATTCCTGTTGTGAGTGAAGAAAAATGGTCAAAGGTGTATGCAGTTTTTTCAGTGATATTAGCACCACTTCTCTTGTCAGTCCTGTGGAGTCCTTACAGTGGAAACAGTTTCTTCAGCAAGAATCTTATTGTTGATGGAATTGGATTATTGATTGGGATAATATTTGGTGTGACTGCATTTTTCACAACTGAAATGTCAAGGCCACCAAAGCAGTGCTTATTTCCTTGGCTTGCAGGGGGTTTTATAATGAGTGTGACTTGGAGTTACATTATAGCTCAAGAGTTAGTGGGGTTGCTGGTTTCAATTGGCTACATTTGTGGAATAAATCCTTCAATACTTGGGTTAACAGTTCTTGCCTGGGGGAACTCACTTGGGGATTTGATGACAAATTTAACAATGGCTCTAAATGGTGGGCCAGAGGGTGCTCAAGTAGCAATATCAGGTTGCTATGCTGGTCCTATCTTCAATACCCTCATTGGTTTGGGCTTGTCTCTTGTAACTTCTACATGGTCAGAGTACCCTCAACCTGTTTTGATCCCCAGAGATCCATATCTCTGGGAGACAATGGTATTTTTGGTGGTTGGATTAGTTTGGGCACTTGTGGTTTTGGTAAGAAGAAATATGAAACTTGATGGACTCTTAGGAGGAGGGCTTTTAGTTGTTTACTTCATTTCTCTTTTTCTAAGGCTGATTCAGACAACAGGGTCTCTCCAATAGTCTAATTTTATGATTTCTTAGTCTTTGATTCGTAGTATTTACAAGACCACGACTTATTTGTCATCGGATTCTTGAAGGTATCGTCGAAAGTATCATTTTCTGTGGAACTAGATTTTGCAACTATGATAGATAGGTGTAAATTTCCTAGTTGTATAATTCTCACACCTACTACCAAGCTTTACTTACTGGCTTATGGCCTTTCTTGTACCTACACTTCATTGAATCATAATTGAAATGCTATTCAGATTTATACAAATCCTACGATCTCATTCATGCCTACTATATTGTAGCGAATTTAAAATGCATTATTTTCTTTTATACAGAACCAACAACTATCCCTTCTTCCCATGTTGAATTAAGGATGTATTCTAAGTGTCAAAATAGTTTTAGATTCTAGTGCAGTTAATTTTTATAGAACTAGTTTTAAATCATTAAACGTGATTGAAATGTGCTAAATAAAACGAGTTTTGCTATATTTTAATAATATTCATATTACTTTATAAAGAAGGTTTACTATAAGAACATAGAACTTAAAAAGAGATTTAGAATTATTCAAATAATACAAAACCTTAACAGTGTATTTACTATCAGCATAGAACCGATAAAGAAATGCGAAAGGATACCCTGTATCCACCAATAAAAATGTGATATTTTTCCGCAATGGTATGAATGGTGATGCAATTGATAATGATAAGTAATAAGATTTGTCTGGAAGTGTCTTGGGGAAGTGAAGAGCGATGCCGCTTTGTTAGAGAAGAAGTCTTTGTTATTTACTCAATCTTCTTTCTGTTTGACTAAGTCACTTTGTTCTTAAGTCTTGAAAGCTTACGTGATAGAATGGGCTAAGATATTGAACATAAATGGACAAAATCTAATGCCGACAACCGAAATAAGGATAGCGAAATGCTTATGAAAAACTAGTGGTACAATTTGTAGATCAGAACAACCTATGTCAAAGTTTTACCTTTTAGACATAACCTTGGCTCAATTTTGGGTCCAACAAGAATGTAGTCTTTTGTATAGATTTAAATCATCTCTTGAGACAAAAAAAAAAGCATCTTTTGTTATTAAATAAATGCTAAAAAATACATAATTATTATTAGCTTTAATTTATTAAATATATAACTGATTAAAGTCAATCCTTACTAAAGTTGTATCTTACTCTCTTGAATGTTATGTTATTTATAAAAAAATAAAAGAATCTTTGACATATTGTCGCACATCACTAATAAAAAGTAAACAAATATTCTCTTAAATGTAAAAATAGAATCACAAAATAGCACAAGAAATAAATAATTGTTAACGAGAACAAATTCTTAATGTAAGAGTAAAAAACCATTGGTAGTCCAAACTAATAGAATAATACACAATGATCAATAAAGAGTATAAGAAAGTCTTCAAATAATTAAATATAAAAATTATGCTCACAAATAGTTAAAACAAATAAAGCATTAATGTTCACAAATAAAAAACAAAAAAAATAAAAAACCCAATTGCAGAGAATAAAAATTTTGATATCTATTTCTCTTTCTCTACACATTTTCTCAAATAAAAATTCACATGTTAGAAATCTAATGTCGCATGGATCCAACCATAAACAAAGTTGTAGATGCAATCTAAAAAATAATATTTTGATAATGTGTACAAATGGCAAGAGATTTTCTTTTTCTCTTCTCTCTTAATATTTTTTAAAAAGAAAAAAATTATTTTTAAAAATGCAACTAAAATACTCTTGTAATTCTGGTTTCGACATACACTCTATTTTTTTACACTGCAAAAATTTCTATCCATGCCATGTCTTGAAAGGAGATAGAAAATTGTGATTTCACTGTCAGCCATGAAACAGTTAAGTAATATAGTAGACACTTAGAGTGACGTGGGCATTTACACGTGCTTGAATGAGTAGAATCTCAATTGTCACATTTTAGGGGAAGGGAAAAAATAAAAAACTAAGGTTGAAAAGTTTCAAATAAAATAATTTCATGATTAATTATGAATTTGTTTAATAAAATTAGTATATGATATCATATGATGTTACTTTAGTAATGAGGAGTCTGAACTTGCATCATCCGAAGAATCTCCTTATGTCACCTGATGAATAATGGAAAGTTCCTCCACTAAGTTCATTCTCATCCACTTTATCCTCAACGTTAACGTTAACATCAACATCAACCTCAAACATAGTCCCAAACTCACGTTGGATTATGGGCTTCATTCAGACACCAATTTTCATTTTGTCAATTATTGGCCCTAGTAGTTTACTTTTATTATGTTATATTTGTGGGTCCTGCTAAGTAATTCAGTAACATAATTGAAGTGGGATATTTTTGTTGAATTACGATAATTTTTTATGATATTAATTTATAAGAATATTTTTGTAAAATCATTTAAATTTGTTTCATACTCGATTTTATTTATTAAAAATAATTCATACGTGGCTTCCTTCGAATTGATTTTATAACAATACCTACAAGGTAGAAATAAGTTACATTTTATTTTTCAACCTAATGTTAGAGCTAATATATCACAGGTCTTTCTTTTATATTTTAAAATGATTTCATCTTAAAATTTAAGAAAAATAAACTTATATATGTAATTCTGTTAACATAGGTTGAGTTTAAGATTTTTTAAAAAAACAGAATTTTAAACTTTTTTGTATTTCTAATATAATAAGTGTTTTCTTATCAAATAAACGTTTACTACTTTTAAATATTTAAATTTGTTCTTTAAGTTAAGGTTTTATCATAAAATAATTATTAGTAATAAAAATTAAAATATATATATATATATATATATATACAGACACTTTTTGCAAGGAATTGAAAATTTGACACGTTACGAAGTAATGTTTTTAAAAACACTATAAATTACTAAAATAAATCACTTTACTAAAAGGTGCTATGTTGTTTAAACAAAAAATTTCAACCACTAAAATAAGTTTTTAATTAACTAAAATTTTTTATCAAACATATTCAAAAAATAAAGTAAAAAAATAATTCAACAGAAAAATATAAAACACAATTAGTAGGAAATGATATATGATTCTAAGCAGTACCACCGTTGACGTAACATCAATACATAGCGAACTAGCACGACTAATCTAAGCATCTTTCAAAATAGCTTGTGTGCAGCTGCAAGGCCAAAGTAGAAGAATTTCTATTTTCATTCTCCAATTTTTTTTTTTATTTTTTCTTCTCTTGAATTTTTTAAAATTAAATCTTGAAGTGAATTACGAATTAATTTGAGAATTTAATTTTGAAACAGAGATAAATTTGTTTTGAAAGTTAAATTTTAAAAATTTGATTCATAAATAATTTCTAGAATTTATCATTTTTAAAAAATTATTTTATATCTTCCAAAATTAAATTTTGGAATAGTAAGAAGGGAGGTCTAAAAAGAAATTGTTCCAAAATAGTCACCAAATAATCATGAAGGTCCAAAAGCAAAGACAAGCCTTTGGGCCGAACTCATTTCTTAGTGTTACCCAAGCCCAAGCCCTCTACCCGTCTCATTCTAAAATGGGTTGCTTTTGGCAACTTTTTATATTTTTTAAACTTAATACACCATCCATCTAGAGCTGTCAATTTGTGCTCTGGCCCTGCTTATCTTTAAAAATAAAACTTCGAAAATGATTAAAATGAAAAGTTTACCATTTATAATAGTTCTTTTTCACTCGTATATAATTGTCAAAAATATAAGTTTATAGATAATATTTATGATTTAAAAAAAAGTGAAATTAGAAGGAAACAAATTTAATATTAAATAATTTAAAAACAATTAATAAGTTGATAATTTTTAAAATATATAAAAATAAATGCTAAATAATGGTAAAGTCTATGTTATTCAAAAAAAATGTAAAATAAGATTTTCTTCATGTTGAAGAATAGGAATTCAAATCTATAATATAGAATTTACTTATTGTGTGAGTGTGTGTGTATATATATATGTTTTAAAATTTACATGCTTGATTGTTAGAAAGTGAACGTTATTAAATGAATGAAAATTCGTTAGCTTTAAATTAGACCTTTATAGACCATTATTATTGGGAAGGAGTTAGTTCGAGTCTTCGAGAAATTACACACGCATATATGGTTTAAAAGATTTAAGTTTAATTTTCACTATTAATAAATTATTTTTGTGAGTATCACTTTTAAATTTATTTATAAAGCTTGTGACGTGTTTCTTTTTATTAATATTTGTATATTTAAATAATAAATGTATTATTCAATTAAGAATTATTATGAGCAAGAATTATTAAGGTTGTAATATTTAAAGTCATATTTACTGTATATTTTAATTAGCTAAAAATATAAATAAATTAATAATATATTAAAATTAAACTTATAAACATTAAGAAACTTATTTTTTATAAATAAAATCTTGAATTTAAGTTATAAATAAAAAAAAAAAATCAAAGAGTTTTATTTTTTAAAATAAATTTGCTCAACACAAATTCAATTAATTAGAATTGAATATAAATTTTGGATGTCGGACCAAATATGTGGTATATGAAAATGTATGTAATATATTACTCACTTTAAACTAATTATCTTCCATTTTCTTAATATTTAACTAACATAAACAAATAGCGTTATGACGTAGAGAGTTGTCAAAGCTGAGCTTTACGGGCCAGTCTTCCTAGCTCGCTGAATTTGATAGGTCAGCCTAATACTTTACGTTCAATTCATTCTATTTTAACTCGTTAAAATATGAGTAAATAATAAATTAAAACAGATTGGTCGGTTGAGCTCATTTTTAACTTTTAAAAATAATTATTTATGAATTAAATATTAATTTTATTATTATAAAAAAAAATTTTAAAAAAATTATTAATTTTTGTAATTTTGTTATTAATTTTAGGTAAGTTTGACCTTGGCCCACTAAACTTTTTATTTTATTTTTTTTAATTTTTGATCTTTGGTGGATAGCTCATTAAACTGCAAAGACCGAACAGGTGAGAGTAATGAGGGCAGTCAAGGGTGAATCAGAGGCTTTGACCTTAATTGCTCAATGCTTGTTATAGAGTTTTGAAAATTGGGCCTGGTTTCTAACCCTGATACAATCATTTATTATATTCCCTGCAATCTTGTAGGCTCGTCCACTTTTAGATTAGTGCTTATTCTGCAGTAACTATATCTAAAAGCATAATTAACTTTACATGTGAGCCTTTTAATTTTGAAAATTAAAATGTATGATAACATAAGTCAGTTTCATGAGATACATCGGAATGGGACCTTTCTTCCCTTTGAAAATGCATCTTTAGAATCTAATAACACCAATTGCCATGGCCATCCTTGTGAACAAAAAGCAGAGATAAATGGTCAAGAGCCCAGCTCCCAATGACCTATCAAGTCTCATATCCTTCTTGATCACTATCACAAGGGCCCAAAGCACCCCTCCCATTAGGAACAAAAGTGTTCCATAAAGTGAAGTGTCCTTGGGAATGACATAAGAATCTGGATATTCAGACCATGCTGAGAGAACAAGAGGCAAGCCCAAACCCATTAAAATATTAAACATAGGACCAGCATAACAACCAGAGACAGCAATTTGGGCACCATCTGCTCCACCATTCTTGGCCATTGCACCATTGGCTATCAAATCCCCTAGAGAATTACCCCAAGCTAGGACAGTTAATCCAAGGATTGAAGGACTAACACCTATGATATTCCCAAGTGCAACCAAGAGGGAAACAAGTTCTTCAGCAATGATATAAGTCCATGTCACACTCATAGAAAAGCCCCCTGCTAGCCAAGGAAACAAGCACTTTCTGGGTGGACTAGTGCTCTTAGTGGTCACACATGCCATGTTCCCCAAAACAATGCCAATTAAAGCAGCTGTTAAGTATGCAACAAGACTACTTCTTGAACTCACATTTTCCATCTGGGTATTGCAAAGAGCTGTGAACAAAACTGGGGCTAATGTGACAGATATAACAGCATATGGCTTTGACCAACCCTCCTCACTCACAACTGGAATAGTAAGTTTTCTTGGCAAACTAAGAGGTAATTCTAGTACTTGTAGAAACTTGCTCCAGTAATTACAGTCAAATGAATCATTACCAAAACCCTCTTGTTTTTCCCCCTTATCTTCAATAACCTCTTTATTTGACACATCTGGTTTCTCATCATCAACATAACCTAGCAAGGGTATGCCAGACTCTACCAACTCATCAGAAGATGCTGCAAGTTCCCCTTCTGGCCTGTCCCCTCCATAGATAAAATGTGTGGCAGAGACAGCACAGACATAAAGGAAGTAAATAGAAACATAACATATTGAACCCAACAAGCTAATTTTACCAATTGAAATGATGACAAGAAGGATGAATAAAGAGAAAAGGAAGAAAATGACATCCCTGATGAAACTGGCCTTGTCAACTGCAATTTCATTTGGATTAACAAGAAAACTTATGACCCCCAAAACAGCACTAGAGACAAAAAATGCCCCTCCCAGAATGCTATTGAGGCCAACTGCACCATCATTGGATCTTGTGAAGGAAACAACACTAGCAAAAAAATCAGGAGCACCATTCCCAAGGGAAAGCAAGGTTACCCCAGCAATGGTGGGGGATAGTCTCAAGATGTCCGACAAACCTTCTAAGGAAGCACAAAAGTAATTTGAAGCTGTGTCAGCCAAAAGATAGAACAACACCCCAAGCCAAAGTACAAGCAGTACTTGACCCAGAATTGGGGAATGGCCAAAGTTGCAGTAAAAGATTTGAAGATAGTTTATGTTCCCTTTTGACCTACAGTGAACATGGGATTTGACATATAAGCATTTGGAGTCATAATCTGAGTACTTGTGAAGGTCAGTGCAGCCATCAACAATGATGTCATTGAGCAATCTAGCATGGTTGAAGATGCGTGTGGAGGCATGAATCTTAGAACTAGAAGGGTGGAGATAGGCTTTGAGGAAGAGAAATGTGAGGAAAATGAAGGATATGTTGAGGAGAAGAGTGAGTTTTCTTGGTTGAAGTTTGGAGTTAAAGATGAAAGCTGCCATCTATAGAGCATGTTCTTGAGGATATGTTAATGGTGTGAATATATGGAGGGTTGAGAAGCTGTGTCCATTTGATATGGTGAATGATGTTAGCTTGCGCGGTGGAATTTACTTTGTTGTTGATGTTAGAAAGTGCATGGACTAGTACTAAAAAAGAAGGGGAAATAGAACAAGACAGAAATTGAAGGTTCAACTTAAGAGTGTTTTCTAGTACTAATATTGGAATATCAATGTTGGCCAAATGTGTTAATAACAGATTACCAGAACATTGCAATGCAAAGCTGATGCCATTAATTGCATTGTATAGGATGAGTAAAGTGTATATAATGTCTTAGTTTTCACTTTTGTTGTGTGGATATTAGGGGAAGTTACTTCATGTACATAAATAAAAGACTTTAGGAAGGTGGCTTGACAATTATTTAGTGTACGAAAAAGAAGGAAAGTGGATAAAATGGAAAGAGAGTTGTTTAAAGAAATAATGATGATCAATCACCAAAAATTGAGCAAGGACCCAATTAATAATGATGTTTCTTTTCGACGTGAAAAATTGGTTGCAACACCAAACAATAACAAGTAGTTTTAGAATGGATTAATTTGAATTAAAAAATCCCGAAATTGTGTGTGTGGAAGTAATTTTTACGTGAAAAAATAAACAAAATGAAAAAGATAACTTATTTGGTAAAAGATCAAATTCGATATCATCGTTACATTCCGATCTTAAGGTCAATTGAAATGCTAACTTGTTAACCATAAATCTTATATGCGAATAAGAAAACATTAGAAAAAAAATGCATAACAAAAAACGACAAATTGAGAAGTTTCATATACTCTTTTTGGAATGATATATGAAATTGCATGTAATGTAAAAAATAGAAAATTATTGCTTCAAAATTTGGAAATAGGGATTGCTTGTTTTTTTAGTTGAAGAAAGGGGCGAAATAGTTATTATTTTAACTTCATAGGTATCAATCATTCAGGCTTTTTTGTTTTTGAAAAAGGATATCAAGTACTGAGACTTTGGTATAACTATGTTAAAATATTTACATTAATATTCCAAATCGTAAACTATCATTGAACAAATAGCCCTAATCTCAAAATAGGAAATATTTTCTCAAAATATAAAGTCCCTAAATTTTGTAATATTAAAATTTATCTTTTATCTTAAATTTTAACTATTTACACTTTGATATTATTTTTTTTTAACTATTTCACACATATTTTAAACCTGATCGGCTTTTGTTTTTTTTTTTTTACATTTTAATTAATGTACAAATGTTATTATTACTGAGCAAGTAGATCAATTTGGCATTTGCAGGGCCATTTAGTAAGGAAATTTTTATCATCTTTCATAATTGATCTTACCAGATTTAAATTCTAAAATGATTAATTGGACCCAAAAAAAATGTAATATTGCCAACTCTTAAGTTTATAAATAAATTCTACGCAGTGAGTGAAATGGTGTATGCATTAGTAACTTAGCTCATTTCATACTTATTTTTTAATTTTTTTTGGGTAACAATATTTCATGCTTTAAATTATCCCAGCTAGTTACGGTTGTACGTTCAAAAGTGGGACAATATTTAATCGATATATTACTATGTAGCACGAATGACGATCGTAGATTCAATCATTGCAGGGTTCATGTATAATTGAAGACCAACAGCTATATATTACAAGTTTCAATGGAAAACATAAATAAATAAAAAAATTACCTTTTTTTATTTTATTTTCTATTCAGAGGGGCTCAAAGTCCAAAAACAAACACAACTAATTACCTAGTCTAGAGTTACAAACACCTAAAGAGTCCTGGCTAAGAAAGGGAACCAAAGAAGAAGGACCCTTATCTAAATAAAAAATATCTAAGGTAGCCTCAAGGCCTAATTTGGTCAACATATAATCACACTTATTACCTTCCCTTAAAATGTGCCTAATTCTTACACTTGTTATCTTCCTTAAAATGTGCCTAATTGTAATGAAAGGAATACAATTCAAAGAATTCCTAATAGCAACAATCAAATTAGAATAAGGATAGTTACAACTTTGATTGTTCAATATGATACACATTTTCTTATCTTAGTACTTAAATGATATAATTCACTACTAGCAAGTGTACTAGGTAGTTGTAGCAAGTTATAAAATGTGAAAATCAGATTGAGTCCCAAGTATCGTCCTTTAGGATCTTATTTTTAATCACAAATTCACAAGATAATAACCATTTGCACCAAACAATTCATTGAACAGATTTCAATATGCAAGAAAGTAAATTTCAGAATTAAAGAAATGAGAAATTGTTAAAAACAGAATGTTAATTTGTACTATTTGAATGAATTACGAATGGAAGAAAAGTTAAAAATTTATTTCACTAGAATATCAATATCAATTCAGTTCCGCCTCTGAACATTCAAGCAATTGATTGATTGTCAATCGGTTTCTCTTTACAATAACCAAAGATTGATTCCTCAATTCATTGGTCCTAATATTCAACCAAATCTCCCTAATTCCTTAGGCCAAATTTAGTTCAATATTGCATTATGAATTAGAACCAAAAGATTGCAAAACTAAGACCACTTATCCCTAAGAAAATCAATAGTTTTGGGAATTAATTCAGATCCAAGCAACAAACCCAATTTCTATTAGTGAAGGTTACTTTTTGATTAATCAATTGAACTTCCATTCAAAAATCAAGTAAACACAGAATTAATCCCTCAATCAAATCAAACACTCAAAGTTCAGAGTCAAAACGAAATCAATATATCAATTCTAGATCCATAAATCCCTAACAAAAAGAGTTAGAAACACATTACAATGAAATGGAGAGAAGAAAGAAGAAAAGAAGATAAAAAGCAGAGAGCCATCTCCATCACTTTGTCTTCTCCCAGATTCCTCTAGCAAAGAAGAACAAAAGTTGCTCCTATCTTCTTTCTCTGACTTCCCTTGGAAGTTAAAACGGTTACAACTGAATACCAAAACTAAAAATGACAAAAAAGCTCCTTTTCTAAGTTTCTAATTCCTATTTATAGAGTTCATCTAATTCTTCGACTTAACCCTTGAAATTCTGAAAGTTAGTTATCCCCAGGTGTTCTGGAATCTTCTAAAAGTGATACAAAAACTCCAAACGTCCAAATTGGTGAGAAAAAGAAGTTATAAAAATTGCAGAGTTTTGAGCCAAAACACGAAATGGCTGGAGTGAAGGCGCGCAACTGCAAGTGATCTACGTTGCAACGCGCTCTTGCGCGCCAAAGCTTCAGATGATGTGCATTTTAATGCACAACACTTCAGTGAACGCTTCTTCCATATGCTCAGCTCTACGTTGCTACGCCATCTGTTATGAGTTGCCACTCTCTGTTGCGCGCCAAAGCTCCAGGTAATGTGCGTTTCAATGCAATGACAGTTATCCAGTTACAGTTGTTGGAGTGTTAACGCGTATCACTCAGAGTAGCCACGCAGACCCAATGCTGCATTTTCTTCTTTCCATGTTCAAACGTCAATCACTTGAAGTTTTAACGCCCAGCTCTTAGGATTTCTTCAAACTTGATTCTTTAATTTTTCTTCTTTAATTTCAGCTTTTAATCCTTCCTTTAAGCACTTTCAACAACTTTCCATCTTTTGCATGAACTCCTACAAAAATCTAAACAATTTTTAATATTTCAACAAAACAACAATTTATACTAATTATTTTATTTTTGTGATCTTTTCAAGTTATTTTTAGAACTAATTTTCTAATTATTAACTAAAAACTATGCTAAAAACATGGCAAAATATGGATTTATCACAATACCAGTTGTAAAGCATGCTTAGAGTCGATTTCAATCCAAATAACTTGGATATTCTTCTGAATTACCAGCTGAAGACCATAGAATAGGCCCCCATAATTTAGCTTCTAAAGGAGAACAATACACAAGGCCCCGATAGAGACCAGCAGAAAAATTTTCATTGTTGTCTCTGATTAAACCACCACATCCAGCACTTTCTATAGCAAGGGACACTACTCCATCAACATTAAGTTTTATGTGACCCTCGGGAGGAGGATACCATCTATTTTGAACATAGTTGCCCTGCATCTTCTTCATGGTTTTCGCCTTACCCCTATCACAACAAATTATATACTCAAATTCATAGCAAATTTTACGGTAAAAGGAACTACTGGTAGTTGCTGAATTTTAAAAAATGGCACAATTCCTTTCTTTCCAAACATACCAGATTACCAAACCATACAACCTGTTCTAACTAGAAAAATTATTCACCTGAAAATTAGATAAATTACTAAGAAACCAATTAGATAAATCCATGCCAAAAAAAAAGGGGCCCAATTAGAAGGTAATATGAAAAAATTCAAAACCTATTTGACATACCAACAATCTCTAAGGACATGAATTATAGACTCTGGCCAAGAACCACATCTAGGACAAAGAGGGGAGCTAGACATTTGTCTCATAAATCTTTCCTCATTAGTCAATAATCTGCCATTAGCCACTTTCCAGAGGAAGTTAATAACTCTAAGAGGACCATCCTATTCCAGACAAAGTTAAAAATATTATGATTTGTGGAAGATTGCTAGATAGGGGAACTTATCAAATCATAGGCTGATTTTAGGGAGAACAGACCATTACTAGAGGGATTCCAAAAGGCGAGGTCTTGTCCTTTATTCCTATCAAGAGGTTTTACTTGGGCTATGTACTCGCAAACAAGATTGAGTTAAAATCACCTGCAACACACCAAGGTATATCCATTGTGGCAATAAACTCTATGAGTTCATTCCAGCAGTTCACTCTCTATCTCTGATGAGGGCTAGCATAAACAGAGGATAAAATCCAATCCTCTTGCCTTGGACTGCTGATTTTTAGGTGTATAAAGTACTTTGATTGTTCAACACAGCAGCCCTCACCTTTCCAAAATTCTATCAGCACCAAATGCCACCAGAAAACCCATAGCATCTACTCTAGCTAATTGGTCAAGGTTAAACTTATTAATAATTTTCTCATCCTTTTCCATACTAATCCTAGGTTCAAATAGGGCAACAAAATCTAAGTTATAGATATTAATTAAATCATTTATTAGCCTAGAGAAAGTCTTACCCCCAGCACCCCTACAATTCCAAAATAAA